GTGAAGTTGACATTAATTTTAGAAGTTAGTTTGTTCCTGTTCCGTAGTTAAAGTTGTACCGAGTGGAATAAAAGTTGTAAGTTGAAGAAAGAATTTGATACTCGGCCATCCACGGTACAATATTTTGTTGGGTAAGTCGAAATCACTTAGCTTATTTTAGCTTACTTAGCTTAGCTTATTATTGATTTTTGAACCATACAGAGGTATTAAGTACCGCTGAGTATTATGTAGAATTACACTTCGCCCACTGCCTCATCGCCTTTGATAATGTCCAGCGCAGTTGTGGACGAAACGTCAGGAAGAAATTCCGATAGACCACGGCTTCAAAGCCCGGAAAACATTCCTAAATGTGATTCAACCGGCCGTGAAAGCCTCCATAGTCTGATAATAGTAGATATGTTGGATCGAGTCGGGATACCTACCAATGCTGGACCAGGTGGGGGCCACCCACACATCGTTCAGCTGCCAGTAGAGCGCTCCCATGGTGTAGCCGTTGCCCTCCTCTGTCAAGTAGCTTCTGTATCTTCGGTAGTGTTCGGTCTCCACTCTGATGGCCTGGGCGCTGTAGATCTGCAGCACAAGCGCCCAAAACATTGCCAAGAACTGGACAGACTGTAGCTGGCTAAGCTCACCTGAGACAGGTAGAAGAAGGCGCTGGAAAAGTGCTCGCTCTCAGAGTCAGGGAGTTGGAGATTTTCGCTGATCAGCAATGCGATTTCCTCGTTCCCTAAAGGATGATGCTGGCGCCAGTCCATGAACTCACTGGTCAGCTTCAGGTCGGCTGTTATGTTGGTGGCGGTCATCCAGGAGTCCTCCAGAGGAAACGACTGGTACCCGTATTCGGAACAGAAGCGCGGAATTGGGTAGGAGTTGGAGTTCCACGAGTCCAAGACGTAGTTGTAAAAGTGCACTGAAACCCTCCAGAGTTACCAACTAACTCCCTCCGGCGTGGCAGTAGTGCTCACCATCGCCCCAGTACTGGTTGGAGGGACTCTGCCCCACCCATCCCTCATTCTCAGTCAACTTGGCATTGCTGGGGCTGGAGCTGATAAAGACTCCCTCTCCGCCAGAGATGCGCTCAAACTGAGCGCGCACCGTCTCAATATAGAGCGCCACATAGTCCGCTTTGTATTGGTCGTAGTTGTCGGCGGTCGAGTACCAATTGTCCGACAAAACGCCCTCGTTCTCATTGTTGCCCGAATACACCACGATGCTGGGATGGTGGTAGAGGCGCTTGATGTTGTGGTCCACTTCAGCAACGACGTCAGCGAGGAAGAGCTCATTGGCTGGATAGAGCGAGCACGCGAACATGAAGTCCTGCCAGATCATTATGCCCAATTGGTCGGCGATTTCGTAGAAGTAGTCCGACTCGTAAACCCCTAGAGGATTAAGACACTTAAGACAACATACCTCCTCACCCCCAAACGACGACTTACCGCCTCCCCAAACTCGTAGCATGTTCATGTTCACTTCCTTGGCGCTCTGGAGCAGGTACCTGATGGTTTGCCTGTCCTGGCCCAGTTCAGGCAGAATATTGATGGGGATCTCGTTGGAGCCCTTCACAAAAATCGGCTCCCCATTCACCTTGAAGTAGAACGTCTGTCCTTTCTCTGAAACCGCCAGCTCGCACCCTCACACCCAAACGACTGCCTCCAGCGTTTCCTCACCTAAACTCTCCTCCACCAGCTCCACGAACCTGAACCCAATGTTCACCTTCTTGCTGATGGTGGCGCCGTTCTCACCATCGGTGAAACTCACCGCCAGCTCATACAAGGGCTGCTCACCATACCCATTCGGCCACCAGAGCTGCACTAGAGCCGCGTCGATGGATAGAGTCACTGAGCTGACGATGTCTTCGTCTCCGCTGCTTTTTTCGAAGATGTCGAAGTCATTCCACACCTCCTCATTGTTGTCCAGGTAGATTTTCGCGCTGGAAATTGCTTGAGTGAGTCAAAACCAATCAAAGCAACTCGACTGGTTGCTTACTTTAGAGTGCCAGATACGGTGTTGCGTTGGTTGGGCGCAAAGTATGTGTTGATGGTGATGAGGTATTTGCTCTCATCCTCTGACTTGCTCACTCTGGGCACCAGGTGGCGAATAACAGTCTCATCGAAGGCCTCGATGTAAACCGGCTTCCTGCATAGTTGCACGGTTTAGTTGGCTCCAAAGACATTAATTAATAAATAGACCAAGCGGTAATGCTTTACGATGCGATCTGGTACTTTGCCGCTTAAGACTATGCTCACCTTATGGAAAATCTCGTAACAAACAATATTTTTCGGGGGTATCATGAGTGAAAAATCATATGGTCAATTTTAAAGCTCGAGGTGTTTTTGCGGTGTTTGTCGGTTCGCTGCTAACCACCAATTTATCAATATATTCGTCGGGAATATTCCCAAAACGATTCATTTTTATTAATTTTTGAGAATATATTTCACAT